TCTTCTTTGACCTCTCTTGGATTTATATATGTATTTTTATTTTTATTTATGTAAATAAAATATTTTTTAATTAATCTTCTCAAAACGGGCGGGTATTTGAAACCGATTACAACAATGGCTTGAAACCATATCAATTACAACCTTGGTCTTATAACTATACTTCAACAAAGGTGTTTGGGAAGAGTTTGACTCAACCCCTTTACGACTCAACAAGGAGAAATCTCAACCCATCTCAGACGGATGATAATTTGGTGGGACTGTGAATCGGTCCATCAACAATTCGGTCCAGCCAAATTGGATCGAGTCGAGTCAGACGTAGGTCAAGACGAGGAGCAAGTATAAATAGAGAGTGGAGAGTAACGAAGAAACCTCCAGAGACTGACGACAAGATTTAAGGTTTATCTCTTAGATTCAGACTCTTATTATCTCGTCCTCGTTCTCTCTTTTGATTCTGAACCTCTTGTATTCATCTTGACATTTAATAAACGTCTTCCTAAGCCCACAAAATAAATACTTAATCGTTTAACTTAAGTTCAGATTAAACAAAAGGCACGGAGCCAAGTTGTTTGCAACAACTTCGGATTCAACTTATGTTTTGCTATCTGATCGGGTTAATCCAGGCATGGAGCGAAGCTCCCATTTCTTGAATATGCTTCATCTATTTAAGTACATATTTGGATGAATTAAGGTTCAAAAATTTCATACCTGAAAATATCCGGTCCAAACACCATTGCGTGTTCTCCAAACAACAAGCAAGAGATCGGTTTGAGAAAAGGCCAAGTTGACTAACAATGAGTGGGTAAATACAATCAGAAAAACATGAGACATCATATTGAAACTCGTTAAGAACAAGATCTCGATGCTAGAAATAGCGAGGTTAATAATTGAAACATCTTTCCTTGCGCATATATAAGTCAAGTCTTAAGATGGTTGACGATGTAGAAACATGGATCAACTTGACTTCATCAAAGCTCTGACACATTTTAAGACGTGAAAAACCTCGTTAAACATTAAACAACATATAATCAAACTTACATGCTTCACATGTTGAGCTTTCTTTAGAGAGATCAGTTGTTGTTAGTGGGTTTTTATATAGGATTAAGTCGAATCTCCAAAATTTATGCACCAAAGTTTCCAACTTCTTTGTTATTAAGCTTATCATATCTTCAATCTGCTCAAACCTCTCCAGTTTATCATGAAGTTTGTTACCATCTCTCTATATACTTTTTTCATTTACCTCATAGGTGTTGCTTTGAAATATTTGGTTAATATTAACAAATTCACCACATGTTAAACTTCAAAACTAGTATAGATTACCATGATTCTAGTTATTCAGAAAATACAATTAAAGTATTATGTGTTAGTCTAAGGGGAGGACATGTATAAAAATCTAGTCTCCTTTTTTTGCTTAACCATTAGTTCTCAATTTACTTGCAACTCACCTTTTTGGTCTAAACTTGCAACTCATTTTTACACTAAATCTGCACTTAACTAATAAAAAAAATGCAATAAAAACTCATTTCACTTTATTTTCCGTTTAAATATTAGTTTATGAATAGAATCAGAAGGCAGTCATTTCTATTCATCCTTGCAATATACATCTCACCACTTGATAACATAATAAGTGATTAAGTTGATGTCAAAAAAAAAAATGATATTTAGTATTTAGTCATTCTTCTATATATATCAAGGTCTAATATATATCAAGGTCTAATCTTGTGGTAGATATTTAGTCATTCTTCTATAAGGCTAATCTATGATCAGAATTGTTACTAAATTCACCATGTGTTAAATTTCAAATGTATTGATTAATTACGAGTATTCAGTGATCACGATTATAGTTAATAAATTTTAAAATTATTTTTTTCTCTATTCATCAAGAAAATAATGTGCATTTAGCATCATTCTAACATTTTTATCACAAAATAAACTTTCAAAATCTTTTAAATTATGTCGAATCTAAAATTTCTCAGATCTTATAAGCCTCTTAAGTGACATAGGTTAAGTCGTTCAACAAATCTAAACCTGTTTTTAGTGTGATATCAAAAACTCTAGGTTTAGTTTTTGAATTTGGTTGATGTAATGATGTCTTAGAGATGATGATAGTTTGTTGTGATACATGTTGCAGGTTCTTTTTGAATATTTCTAGCCTGGTAGGTTTGATGAATGAAGTTGAGATTGTTCATTAGAAAATAACATAAAACAAAGAACTTTGATCTAAATTGGCATGTTTGACAAAAACAAAAAAAAATCTAAATTGGCATAATTCCACTTTCCATTCACAGTCTAATTTTGTAAAGCAACATCAAACTTTTATACATCAGTACCTATAATTCTATCTAGCACATGTTATTTATTAAATTTTATTCTATAGATTCTATACATATTAGAAATTTTTTTTAATCAAATCACATAAACCTGTGTTTTGATTTAGTGAATTCTTCATACTTACAAATGACTATCCATTGATCTAATGTTCATGTGTATTGTGAAAATCAGCTGAATTAGTATTACATTCAAGGCTTGATAGACATTCCATAATGTATCAGAATCCAAGACAAATGATCAAGATGACTTTAGCTATCTATCTATTGTTATAAAACTGTGTTTTTTTAAGACTTCCATGTCATATTCCAGCTAGATAAGTCGAAGTCATCGCCGTGACACGTGTCCACTCACACAATACAATACGCATCGTTTCATTTTTATATCTATCATTAGAAAACTGTGTTTTTTAAGCCTTACATGTCAGATTCCAGCTAGATAAGTCGAAGTCTATCGTCGTGACACATGTCCACTTACATAATACAATACACATCGTTTCATTTAAATAAAGGAAAAATAATTTTGTGGATTTCTCATTAAAGAAAGGAATTAAAGCCCAAATCCTTACAAGCCCATTCAGTCTTCTTCCCCGACCTAAAAAAAATCTTTTGCGTTCTCTTAGAGCATCTCCAAGAAAGAATCTCATTTTAAGGGTAGAGAATCTTCAAAATGAGGATTTGAGGGTGTGTTACTCCAAGAAAAAACCTCAAATTTTATCTTGGAAATTTTATACTTTTTGTATTTTAGTCCCCAACTTTTATATAAATTAATGATAATCACTAAAATTTATATAGATAGATAATAGTACACTTTAAAAAATAAAGATAATATTTATAAATAAAATTTATATTAAAACAAAATACATAACATAATAATAGAAAACACACATTAATTCATTAAAAAAAATAAAAAAAATTGCTCACTACTGTTATTTTTAAAATGTTCTCATATATGATCAATCAACCCAAAATGTTTCTATTTAAGTACTATTCTTTTATATTATCTTTTATTTTATTTTATTTTACTATATTTATATATTTTATGTATTAATTACATATGTAAGATATATTTGAATATTTCAGAGAAATATATTTATAAAATATAGCTATAAGAACTAAAGTGATAAAAAAATTAATACAAATACAATTATATGTAAGATATAAAAATATAAGGACTAAACTAAAAAGTGAATAGTGTTTTGACGGAATGAATAGTGGACCCTCAAATTTGAGGTTTCACTATTCAAGCTCTCAAAATTTGAGGGTTTAAGGATCTCTTTGGAGAGACAAAAACCTCAAAATTTGAGGGTTTGAGGGCCTCTTGGAGATGCTCTTATGCCGTCACATGAGATTGGATGACCGAAATCGAGATGAAGAATCTCTTTGTTTGTCTCCATTTGTGTCGTTTAGCTTTCTAATTTACTCAACCGAAACGGTCCGAGTTAAGCCATTATCACCTTCTTAACTCTATATAGCGACGTGAAGCACGATCTGATATTGATCATTAATTATCCCTCTGCAAGGCGTTTTATTCAAAGTTCTTATAAGGTTTTCAATCTAAGAAAGTTCAGATTCTTTGTTAGTTTCTTGCTATTCTACTTCAGTTAATTTATTTGTTTATGGTTTTGCAGGATCTTCCAACTCTTATGCTAGAAAATACAGTTTATGATTTTGCAGGATCTTCTAACTCTTATGCTAGATGATACAGTTTTCGATGTTCTCAAGATTCTTAGTTGGTAAGGAATCCAACAATCAACACGGTCTTTTTGATTTCTATAGGCTCTTCTTATATGTAGTTTCATGATGTCTTAAGGTAAATATTACTTTTTCTGTATATGCAAAAATCCATGTGATTCTCATACACTGCAAAGCCGGAAACCAGTAGTAGAATTTGGAGAAGAAGATTGTGACTGAGATCTTACCAGCAAAGAAATTCTACAAAGCTGAATAATACCATCAGCATTACCTCCCCAAAGGTGGGAAGAGTGGCCATGCAGTCCCCTTCAAAGAGCTGCAAGAACCCTATCAGCTGCTTTGGCTGAGGAAAAGCTTTTGTTCTTTTTCCACCAAAACAGAGGATTCTCAGAGAATATGTGTCTTGATTTGTATGTCTCAGTTAGTATTACTAACTTAGTAATAAAGATGCATGTGTGATCATCTCAAGTGTGTGTGTTCCCAAAAAAAAGTGTTCCAAAAAAAATTATCATCTCAAATGTGTAACTGATGTATGTTGGAATAATTAATAAGTACGACCATTAGAACCTAAACTTCTTATTTACTTATGTTTTTGTATTAGGATTCTCTAATTTCCTTGAACGGATGCATGGCTTCTAACCACTTTTGCCACTCATACACCAACATGTCCAATTTTTTTTAAAAAAAATTACGATGCTTCTGAGGTGATTTTAGCAGGACACATCCATCCATTGACTGGCATGTGTTCTATCAGCTGTATGTAACACTATTTGAGATATGGGTTGGAAGAAGAAAAGGCTGCAAAAAGATTAAAGAACACATGACATGTCTTTTTGGGTATATTTTAGATGAAAATATTATTGTCTTCAATGCGATTTGTTTTGAGAAAGTTGAATGTGATTTCTGTTAATGTTTTCTCTTTTTTTTTTTAACTTATAAAATTTACAGTTTAGATATATAATGAAACCTTTATAAATTAATAATGTTGGAATTACACCAAAAATATATTTTTTTATTTATAAAAATTATTAATTTATCGATATACTAATTGAATCAAAAATTTAATTTAGGATTATAAAATTCTATTAATTTATATAAAAATTTATTATATATTAATTTAAAAATATTAATTTAAAGATGTTATGTTGTATATTGTCAACTGAATTACTCGAAAGCCAAAACAAACATCCAATCTCCGATCACAAAACCCAGAGGCATTTACTACACTTGAAGCGGCCGAAACCAACATGTAAAAAACTCGGTTCCAGATAATACCAAAAAAATAAAAATAAAATAAGCTAACCATATGAACCAAAACAACAATTGATATATTACTAATATAAAAAATTATATCATATTCCGCGCGAAGTACGCGTGGTCGGCCTTCCTACCGGAATGCCTCCTTTGTACGAACGACACGCTTCGCCTGCTCCCTCCCCGTGTCCACTAGCGCTCCTGCCCAGAGCAAAGAAACTACCTTTTTCTGTCGCTGACGTTCGTCAAGCAGGCCACGTGGATTGGCAGGGAGATTTCAAAAAGGAGTTATAAGGGAGATTTCAAAAAGGGACCAACCCTACTACCTTTACTCTATTAAAAGCTCTTAATAAAACCATATGAACATGTCCATGTCAGCAAAAATATTCAGCCAATCAAAACATTTGTTTCCTCACATCAGCAAATAATTTTGGGTCTAATTTTTAACATAATCAAAATTGGCCCGTTAGGCCCATAAAATACAAACCCTGGATCAAAAGAAAGTAGACGAAATTTTCAGTTTCGTTTGTTCTTCACCTTTTCTCCTTTCCAAGCGTGAACGATGGTTGACGAAGCAGCAGCAGCCTTAACATCCAAAGCTTCGGTGTTTGGAACTCCCGTAAACTAGAACTTAACCAAGCCTCGATGAAGCCACCGTCGAATCTGTTGTTTAAGGCGACACTGAATCGTCCTGCAACAACAACGTGGCGGAGAGTACTGTGACTGATGTCGTCTCTGAAGAGGAGCGTGAGAAGACTTTTGAATTCGCTGATGAACTTACTAAGAAAGGCTCTATGTTCTTGAAGGAGATGGATTTCGCTGAGGCTGTTGATTGCTTCAGCCGTGCTCTCGAAATCAGGTATCCTTACACATTTCAGGAAGATTTTGATTGAGATTTTGACCTATTAGATTTGCAGCAACACTGATAGATTTGTTAGTGAGATTCAAATGTGGTGTGTTGCTTGGTATGGATTTAGGGTTGCACACTATGGTGAACTCGCTGCTGAGTGTGTAAAAGTGTACTGCAAATATAGATCAGCTCTCTTGGAGAAGGCTCAAACTGAAGCTGATCCACTTGGTAGCGAAGGCTCTGTTTCTGATCGGCGGCGCCGTTCTCCTAAAGTGTCTAACGAAATCCACTACTCGCTGGACCACTCTCACGTCGTCTCTCGCTCTCTCAGCGGCGAAAAGCTCTCTACTTTCCTAAGCTTTCTTTTGAATTTCATAATTCTTCCAAAAAAGATGAAAACTTTGTGCTGATTCAAGGTTTTTTTTTAGTTTTTACTAAAAGTTTTTTAAGGAGCAGGCATCAAGGGATCCTGATAATTACTTCAACATAAGGTTTGTATTGTTCTTTATCACTCATGATGGATTGGGTTGTTAACTATGTCTATTGTCACTGCTGCAGGAAACATGATGTTATTAAAGAGGGTATACATTTGATTCTAGCACATTCTTAGAGATTCTCTTTCCTTATTTTATTCATGTACGAGCTTATTTCATTTACTCTTAATAGATGGCAATGGTTTTAGGACAAGTACAATGAGACTTGGAGCTGATGTCATTGTATTCTCATGCTGCCCTGGAAAAGATGGAAATAACCGCCTGCAAACAAGGAAAGGTTTGGGTAAGGCACTGTAATTAATTCTCAAGGAGTTCAAAAGACTAGCCTCGGTTCTGATGGTGCGGTGGTTAAGCAAAGGACCAAGAGGAAATGGAAATCCAGTGAAGATGATCATCATTTTGGGTATTCTCATGCTGCCCTGGAAAAGATGGAAATAACCGCCTGCAAACAAGGAAAGGTTTGGGTAAGGCACTGTAATTAATTCTCAAGGAGTTCAAAAGACTAGCCTCGGTTCTGATGGTGCGGTGGTTAAGCAAAGGACCAAGAGGAAATGGAAATCCAGTGAAGATGATCATCATTTTTGTTGGATTGTTTCTGATGTGGAGAGAGCTCTAAATGTTGTGGAGGAGATGGAGAGAGTGGGGGAGGATTTTGTGAAGAGATGGAGGTGATGAGGCGGAATTTGGAGCCGGCGTCACAGATTATGACGGTGGGGATGTTGAGAGGTTCGAGGCTTTGACATGTTGTGGGTCTAATGGAGGTGCGAGGAGTAGGAGAGGTGTGTGGAAAGGGAGAGATGGTTGAAGAAGAGTTGGGGGAGAGGGAAGGAGCGTTTATATTGATGCTCGACGTTGCAAGCTTGATCTTTGTTTGTGGGATTTGCTAATGACTTGGTAAGTCTTTTTCTTTCGATCTAAGATCTTCCAGCAATGATTTGGGAAAGTATTAATTTGCTTTAAGAATATGTATCTCTAGTTGATTGTCTGTAGAATGCATCATATTATTGTAAAAAGATGTGATTGTGCTGAACTGTTCTTATGTATGTGTATGAAGTTCTTCCTCATTTTAACGTCTTAGAAACAAAATAAACAATACCAAAGTAATATGTTCTATCATAGGCATAATAAACACGACGATAATAGTTGCAATCAAGGCTAAAACAATTTTATGGTGAAATGTCTTTGTATTTACTTTTGGTCTTAATCTAAATGTAGGGAAATTGCAGTGAGGGAAAAAAAATATAAACGGCTTCTTTTCTTAGTCTCTTCTCAAATAACAATTATACATATAATTGGTTAAATATATATAATTAGGTGGTTGTCCGTAAATTTGCGGATAAAAATAATTTTAATTATGAATCTAATATAAATTTTTTTATACTTTTGGCATGCAATAATATATTTTGATATTTTAAAACTGAATATAATTTTTTGGTAGATAAACTTTTAACTTTTGGTATATAATTTTTGCTTTTGATCAATGAAAAGGAATTAACAAACTTATTTACTCATCACCATTAAAATTTTAGTTACTATTATGACATTTTGTTTTTGACAACATGAATTTATTCAAATAATAAATCCAACCCGTTATGAAAACTAATCAAAGACGCTTGATAGACAAAAATTTATGTCGATATAATCTTTAAGAAAAAAATTATGGTCGTCAAGAACAAATCAAACTAGATAATGATTTTCATAATTTTATAAGAAAAATCTCTATGATGACATTGAAAAAGGGTTTTATCATAAATATAGCATACAAAAGGTAAAAATAATCAAAAATATTATGTTAAAAAGATAAATAGAAATTTATACATATAGATCAACTAATATAGAATTAGAGTTTAGATTTGATAGGTGGTGTTGAGATAAGGGTCGAATTTATGATTTTCAAGAAGAAAAATAAATAAAAAAATAAAAAAGATTGAATTCAAAAATATATTATTCAAAGTAATAAATTTGTTATTTATTAAAAAAATTATTTATATTTATATATCTATAAAACCATGATAAAATATCTTTTACCTTTTTAATAAAACATATTTTAGTCATTTGTTTCTGTGTGATCTTTCGATAAAAATCTATTTTACTGTCCTTGATAGTATTACTTAATTTTTAATTCGATTTATCGCTAAAATCGCTAAAATAAAAATAGCTAAATTTATAATAAAAAGTAATCACAATAATATACTAGCACATTATATGGAACGACCAATCTTTATAATATTTAGCAGGTATGATTTTAGTTTTATAAATAATATACTCATTTTCCACAATATAAACACATTTATAAACATATCTTTAACATATTTTAAAAATTTAATAATGATATTTTTCAAATAATAATTAATTTACTGAATACTTATTTTTCAAATAATAATTAATTTACTGAATACTAAATCATAATTAATTTAAAATATAATTTATAATAAAAACAAGCAAGACATTAGCTTTAAAATATATTGTCATTAAATGTTATGTAACTTATGTCAATTTTATAAATGATTCAACAGATTGATAGTTGTTAAGCTTACACTATTAGACAACTAAACATCTCTGTTCAGGAAGTTGCAAAGCATAACTAAATCGCAAATATAAAATTGTTATGGTAATAAGCTTTATCTTAAAATATAAAAATGTCAAAACAAATACAAACTTTAAAATATAATACATACTGATTAATAACTCTTATTTATAGGGAAGCTATTGCTTGCCTCATCATCGACTACGCGAATTTATTCTAACTCATATATATGTAAACAACTTCCTCACATTATATGAACTATCTATATATTCTAAATTCAGTTTTGGTATTTTATCAAACTTATAATTTTTTGTTACAAAAATGCGGAAAAAATATACTCAACATTCAAACACCATAAATAGAGTATCTCTCCCCTCTTATATTATATAATAAAGACTACATAGTATATATATATATATATATATATATATATATATATATATATATATGAAAATTATACAGTATTTATATTAACTCAGGAAAATTAATAATAAAATTTAATAGATAATTATCTGCGCGTACTGCGGAAAAACGACCTAGTAATATATATAAGCTACAACGTCGGAATTTTGGTATGGATCAATCACCTCTTAAAATCAAACATACTCGTCGTTCGTTTGCAAATAAATATACTGAATTAAGGGGGAAAATGAATTGATGTGAATCATTTGCCATGTATGTATCAATTTCTTTTAGTTTTCCTTGGGCACTACTATAATTTTGGTTGATATCTGAGAAGTCGTTCGTGATTCATTTGCCCCTTATTTCAGTATATTTATTTCCACATCGCCGCCTATTTCTATATATATTGAAGTAAGGGGGAAATGAGAAAAATGAGATCACTGAATTTCTAGTATTTTTCATTCCTATCTTTAACAATTCAGATGCAGTTTTAGAATAACCTATTATTTTGATTCTTAGACACACTAGTTATATAAAAATGAGTAAACAAATTTTTTTGCTAAAGTATATCTGAACATTATTATACCTGATATTTCTTAATAGTATATATCAATAATGTTCAATCATAACCAAAATATCGAGTTTTTGAAACGAGTATGTTTGTCGATGCGTGCATATGGATATGTTCTAGATCTACAGCTAGTATTATAGATCACGTACCGCATATCAATGATCACTCTAGCATTTGTCAGAGCATTTTACCTTCCCTTCCTCGTGACTTTTACAGCCAACTCTCAAAACATTGAAATGTTGGTGATGATGTCTACTTCTTTTGTAATACTTCTGGGGATTTCGTTTTCTTACAACGACAAACTCTGCTTCCACGTCAAGCAAAGGACATCAGACGCTTTCCAGCTCACACAACCAGAGATTTTCCTCCATCCTCATTTGTGATTATATCCCAAAACGTTAACCTTTGATAGCCACATTACATACAAGTATAAGCAAAAATGGCCAACCTTTAAATTCTGTTATGTGTGCTGCACTTTCAATTGATATAAACCAACATGACTACAAAGTTTGGATATTTTTTGTTTTGTCTTATAAAATTTCACAACTAATTAAAGCTTTTCCATAACCATTTTTAGTCGTAACTAAATTCAACCAGACATCAAAGCCCACTCATCAGCTTGAAGAAAGTTAGACACCGAGTACACATGAACATACTCTTCTGGTATCTCACTACTCCATGAAACCCTCTGTGACCTATCTGATCCCAAACCCGTGTTCTTAGACTCTCCATAATAAAGCGTCTGAAGAGCAAAATCTCCTCCCCACGGTGACCAACCATCAGGAGTTATCAAAGCCTCCATATCACAGCCTATAAAAACAGTCCTTGAGAACTCTTTCCACGGTCTCCCCAAGAAGTTTATATGCACCTTAGGGTTAGCTTTATACAACTTCATGTACTCCTCGGTCCCGTTTATCAAACAGTTCAAGAACACGAATCCTGTTGACTGTGACGGGTCAATTCTTCCATGTGCAGTGATAGCGTTTTTCTCGCCTTTTTCGGGGTTAACTTGACGCGGTGCGACAAGGATCTCACAGTCTTGGAAGACAGATGCTGAGTTTCCAAAGATAAAGTCAATGTTCCCTTGGATACGGCATTTTTTGTAGAACTGACGAAGACCATGTGCATAGAGTGTGTCTTGGTTCCCAAGGAACTCACAGTTCTCTAGCAGAGAAAAGTCGCTGTCGGATCTAAACGCAACCGCTTGGTGAGAGTCTGGTCCCGCCGTGTTTTGGAACGTTATATCACGAGCCATGAATCCATCTCCTAACACTCCTATCAAACCAAACATGTAAACAGTCTATTAATTTGTATGATATTCAGTAAATATTCGACAAAAATACTCAACCGGGTGTATAAAATAACTTTTTTAGATTTTCACTCGTTCAAAAATAAATTTATGATACCAAAATAATCCCTTTATATTACTAGAATTCTAGATAAATTTGTTCTTGGTTAATATAGGTGAAATAAATAAACAAGGATTTTTTTTTGTTGAAAACATACATTTTATATTGAAGAAATAAGATTATACTATATACTTTCATGGTTTCACGTGTCCAGTGCACATGGAATTTAATAATATATAGGTCAATAAAACAAATGAATTAAAAACTTTCAACGCTTATTATCAACAAATCATAATAAAATAAACTCACCTACAGTTGGAGTGTTGTACGTGGTCATCCCAGGCATCACGGCGTTTAAGGATCCCGTAATGACCGTTTTACCCATGCCGTCTCCAATGAAGACAACGTTCTTCTTCTCAAACGGAACCCTAACGATCTCCTCATACACTCCTTCGCTAATTCTTATAACAAACTTACGCGCTCCGTCGTTGTTATCAGGCGCCGCGTTGACGGCGTCCTGCACCGTCTCGTAACTGCATTTTCCGTCTTTACACACCGTCACATCTTCTTTTAAACCGGAAGGGAAACCCAAAGTACCCGTATCCGAGCCCAGACCCGGCCCAGTCTTCTCCCAGAACCCGTCTCGTTCCGTTGCAGGGGGAGTCCACGACGCGACGTCGTCTCCGAAGTTATCTAACGCGACCATCATGCTAAGAGCGTTACTGGTGACGTGGATGAGTCCGTCGAGAAACGACATCGTTTCCCCGACTTGTGTTGTCCCGTTGACGTACTTGAGCGCTGACCATGTGTCGTATTGATACACGAGAGCAGCGCTCATCCAAGCGCGAGCGTCTTTGATTCGGCCACGTGTCAGAGCGTGATCCGTCGCTAAGGTGCGGAGTTTGGAGTAAGAGAGGTGCTGGAGGCACGTGTTCGCGGCGTTGGTGCGGTTGAGATTGCCTACGGACGCGTGCAGGATAGAGTTCACTTTGGACTGAGCTGTTTCGAGGTTTTGGAGAGAGACGGAGATCGCTGAGTGGAGGATGTGAGATGAGTTGGGGTTCGGAGGGAGAAGACCTGGTTTGGATAGTGAAGAGAGGCATAGGTCTGGGTAACGAGTTGCGTTACAGGCGAGACGGATCTGAGTGTTGGAGGGTGATTGGGGAGAGTTGTGGTGGTGGCGGGAGGAGGAGGAGGAAGAGGGAGAGGCTAACAGGAAGAGAGAGAAGAGAAGGATGAGAGTGGAGGACATGGGGATGATTAAGAGACCGAAGCAGCGGAGGAGGAAAGAGAATGATGATGGAGTGGTTTCGAATAAGCCATTAATGAATTAATGAGTATATATATATATGGAAATGTTTATGGAAATTAAAGAAATGGAGAGAGATGGAAAATACAGTCACAGAGCATTAAGAGTCACGGACTCACGGGCGATGCATAGTGGAACACTAGTGCAAATCATGCGCGCCGTGAAGAGAGATTGGCATTTTGTGGGTGTCTTTTTTATGAATTACGGTTTAATTATGGAACACTAATGCGATCATGCGCGCAGAGATTAGAGGATAGAGAAAGAGAGATTGGCAATTTGTGGGTGTCCTTTTATGTATTACGGTTTAATCTCTATAATATTATTTGAGAAATCACTTTCTTATGTGTCGCACTCACGTTAAATCTCACGCTGGTTGATTACTATGATACCCTTAATGAATTTAAAAAATACATTTAAATATTATTATTTCTTTTTAATTTTTTTTCCAAATAAAAATATAAAATAAAAAGGAAACATGTATAAAGTTTACAAAACTCTTTAAAAACGAAAATATAAATATATATAAATATGGTTTCATAAAAATGGAAAGTTTACAAATTAGTAATATTTAATTTAAATATATTTTAAATAACATAAAATATAATTTTGAAGTAATAAAATACTTTATAACTATATCTTCTTAGATGAAAAAC